GGCTTAGTCTCGCAAGCTTTGACAGACTTCTCGGAATCGACTGCTGGAACAAATTTAATCTTGTGGGTCGAAGATTACAATCACACTTTCCCTCGTTGCCATGCATTGCTGGTATACCTCTGCAGTGTCATCAGTGAAAAGAAAATCAAGCAAACCGCTTCTTGCTCAGTGAGATAAAATGTCACCATGATGCATGATGACCGTTTGACTTTCGAGGCACAAAACGGAAATTTAAGCTGCACCCTGACCGACTTGTTCAACTTCAGGGGACATGGATGTCGGCGGTAGTCGACGTGAAGGGGGAGGGATATTGTTCTTCACCGTGCCAACCGCACACCAGCGGAGACGAGACAGCGAGGCGGAATAGGACCCAGGATCCGAAAGATGCGCCGCAGAGCTCGCAACTCAGCCCCCCCGCCCCTGCGCATTGTTTGTTGCATTTCCTGTACGTGCAGCGGCAATGGCGTCTCAGTGGCGTGCGTGTCGAATGTTCATGAGTCACGGCTGTTGTTTTTCCCCCTCGAGGATCATCAGCCGCCTCCTTCATGTTTGTACTTACAGTATGTCGCTCGTAAAAGGCAGTGAAGACATAATGCTGTTATTGGTACCCAAACTGCGGCCCGGGGGCCATTTGCAGTGCGTCGGCTATTATTTAGAAACCTGCACCAAATTCTTTAAATCACTTTTGAGAGGGCCGGCAACACATTTTAAAAGAAAAACCCACTGGGCCTTCCTATGATAAGTAAGACAAAATGGGAAATCAATCCGTTCATGTTGAATGTTCCTTAGTGGGAGTTTTCCCTTCCATGCTCTTAGCTTTGGTTGCAACAATCTTTAAATTTTGCAGCAGATTGTTTTTTGCTCACTGCACATCTGAGCACATTCCAAATGACTGACTTTTTGCTTCTTTCTTCTTTGGTAAACTACCTCTTCTGGTTTAAATGGTGTATGTCAGCAAGCTACGGAAGTTGCTAAAGGGAAAACGATTTTCCGATTGTTTAGAAGGGAAAAAAATCGAAATACACCCCCCCCCCAAAAAAAAAAAAAAACAATTTAGTGATTAAAAGTGATTCATTGCCCAGCCCTACTTTAGCATGCTCTATATAGATGCCAAAAAACATTTTCAAATCAAACAGTAACAAAATGTATCTTTAATTCAGTTTCAGAGGCCAAAATACTTTTGCTCCACTTTTGACTCCATGTGAGCAATGGTCCAAGTCATGAATATCACGATAATGAACCTCAACTACTTTAATAGCATTAAAATAATGTGTGCTTGTGACACCACAAATGTTTATTCATTTATTTTTTAATATCGGAGATGCAAGTAAATTTTTCTCGATGATTTTATTTATTTATTTTTTTTCACTGATCCTGCCCTCATTTTTTTCTTGAGCACATCCGGTTTTCATCATAATAATCATAATTTAGTAACCACATAATATGTAATATAGTAATACATTTAGTCATATTTATGAATTAAGGGTTAGGTTTAGCAACAGGTGGAATTTTTTCTGGAAACATCATAGCTATAAATTACAAATATAGTGTGCAAACCTAAAAACAAACAAAAATTGAAAATAATTCAAAAACTTGATGTGCTCGAAAAAAGTAAAGACATTTTAAAATCAGATTGAAAAATACATTTTAGGGATAAATAAAGCCATTTCTCATTCCAATTTGCCCCTGACCATTACACTTGTTTTGGTTCTGAATGTGGCGAATCTGCTCAGCACAGAGGCACATCTGTTAACTCTCTGCCATTTTACCTTTAGCAGAAAGCTGCGATGTCACAGTTATTAAAAATAACTATGATATACAGTATCAACGACCTGTAATTGCTTTACAGACTGGTTTTCGCATGTTTAATAAATCAGTGTCGGAAAATCCAAGTGGCCCTTGCATTATTTCATTTTTTCTGAATGGAGCCCCCATTGGCAAAAGTTGGACAACCCTGTGTTAAACCATCAATAAGAAAAAAAAGCAAAGAGCCTGCGCACCCTCATCTCGGTCACTGAGATCATCAGATGTGCTCCTCTTCACTTGGTTTCATTAGATGTGGCATTTGTTTTTTGCTGGCTCAGCACCATTCGCAGTGGCATGAATCCTCCCCCACTTCGCCGCTACCCACCCCAAGGGAGCGAAGGGGGTCATCTTCTCTGTCACGGCTACGAGAGACGCGAGGTGAGCAATGCGGAGGAGCTTGGCTGATTGAGGGCACGGGCGCCCAGGCGTACTGTGCCTGGAGGTGGCGGCCCATCATAAGAGCAACAGCGCCAGGATGAAGAAGAAGAGGAGGAGGAGGAGGTCGTCATGGCGACACTTTACAACACTTCATTGTTATGGTAGATGACTTACTCTTAGTTAGCTTAAAAACACAATGTTCATCACGACAAAGCAGGAAATAAACATGACCTACTTGGCAAACCAAGCTCGATCGGAAGTTGCACCACAAACAACCGCCCTCACGCTGCCCACAACCAAAACCTCCAACCTATAACTCTTCTTTCGTCTTCTGTCTGTGGAAGACGTGCAATCACGGCTGAGAACAGGACGCTCTACAGCAGCCACACCAGGCTGGAGCCCTGGTCCACATGCTGGCTGTCAAGTCTGACTCAAAAAGACAAAATAAAATTGCTATCTCCTCACTATTCCCTCTTTCTCTGTGTGATGTGTGGGCACTCGCAACCAACAATGAGGCACTCTAAAGCAGCAGCGCCAGTGGGATATCCCACATGATTGCTAATAATTAATAAACAACAAGGGGGAGGACTAGATGAGTTTTTCTACTTCTTACTACTCCCTGCGAACACATAGAATGCACTAAGATAAGTATGGATTATCTTTTTTATTTTTATTTTTGTTTTGTCTTTGTTATGTTCTGTATTGAGTTGAGTAGTCCACTCGCCTGACTTGTGTCCGAGCAGCTCGGGACGGGTTCCCACTCAGTGACGGTGTTTATGAGGGTGTGAATGGTTGCTCGTCTCTATATGTGCCCTGTGACTAATTGACGAACAGTTCAGGTCGTAGTTAGCCTTCTGCCCAAAGTCAGCTGGGATAAGCTCCAGCAAACCCTCACGACCCTGTTCCGGATAAGTGATATTGAAAATGGATGGATGGATGTTATGTGTTTACATGTTCAATAAATCAATCAATGAATCAATCAATTTAAAAGGAAGATACATATTTGGGGTGTAAGCAAGCATAGCGAGCTAGCTAACTTCATGTTGCATTTGTACCAGATAACCGCCAATGTGAACGAAGGCACTCAATTCTTAGTGGGGGCAGGGCCACTTATGCCAGAGTCCAAAGTGTGTCACCGGGTGGTATTTTAGTCACGATCTCCCCAAAAATCATAAAAACAGTAAAAGGTGAGCTCCACAATTCAGTCCCACATAGCACACCAATTTAGCAAATTTTTCACAAATATCTTCCAACATTTATAACGCATTTAGAAACAAATCTCTGAATTCTCTTGAATATTAGCGTTGTTTAGGGGCTGGGATTAGAGTCTTGCTAGGAGGCTGCCAAATAAAGTGCAGACCTGTACCAATGTCAAAGTGGTGTTAAGATAACATGTAAATTAATGTATTTGTACTGCAATCCAGATGCTTTTCTTCTTTGGCTCTTGCACGAAAGAGACATTTAGAAACAGATGTGGCATCATATCTGGCCTCTGAAAATAAAATAACATGAGTGTGGTCCACTTCAAGCTCCTTTCGCAGTTGCATTCATAGAAGGCAAAATAGGCATCCCGCCTTCAATGTGCGCCAGTAACCTGATTACCCGGCTGTCACTCCGAATAAGGACCAGGCTTTTGGGATGTTTCTGAGATTCTCCGTCCGCGGCAGAAATTTTGAGAGATTCTTGGGAGAGGATGCTAACTCACAGCAGGAAGCCCTAACGAGGGAAAAGGAAGCACTGATTAAGACTTGATTTCCTGCCGCCTCTTACAAAGTTTTGAAGCTGCGCCCCCTTTTAATGTCACAACAGATTTGGCCCAATCCCTCAGGGCAGAACGAAGCCTATTTGTAGTCAATCAAGGCAAAAATGGTGATTTTACATTGTAGAAGAAGATGCATCAGTGTATTTTGGATATCATAATTTACAAAAAAAAAAGCTGTTTATTTTTACATATAAGGAAAAAATGTCTCGTTTAAAAAGTGACATTTTAGGAGAGAACTATGTAAATCTGTATTTATTAGACCAGATTGTCAATAAACTTTTCTCGGGTTACTGTTAGGGTTAATAATTTGGCTCTGGCTGTGTTATGATTAGCTAGTCCTTATCATTTACTGAATAAAAATATCCTTTGGTTCTATTGGATTTACTTAATTCGGACATGATCATTGCTTGGTTGCACATGATTAAAATGTGTTAAACTAATAAATATAATTTGAATATATCTGAGGAAATTAGTAGAAAATTACATTAGTCAGTTGACCACATTTTAATCATGTGCAACCCAAAGTTAAGTACTTTTTTTTTTAATTCACTGAAAAAAAAGTCTTGATTGAATGTACTCAATCTTATTTCATCAAGTGATTGCATGAAATAAAATGATCTGAATCCAGCTACATTTTCGAAGATGTTTAGGCTTCATCTGCATGATATTATTTTGCGCAGCCACTTCATTAAATAAAATTGAGGAAATTCAAATTTGTGGTGGCACCTCAATTTTGGGACAACCGCAGGGGCGTCACCCGAAGACATGAGGCTGTGGGCTGGCTCAGACGGTGTTCAAACTTCTATTATAGAGCTTGAAGTCAGGGCTACTAATACTTTAAAAGTAATCATGGAATTCTTAATGACAATTCTTCAACAAACTGGAAGCCAATTCGGTGACGCTAAAAATTGAGTCGATGTGATGGTAACTGTTTCGTTCAGAGAAGCCGAGCTGTTGCTACAAGACAGGGTGATGAGTGACGCTGGAGAAGCGTGTGTTGCAATAATCTAAACTGGAAAAACAAAAAAGTAAAATAAATTAGGGGTTAGCAGTCGGGTAGGGTTAGGTTTGCGGTTCAAGATTATGGTTTGTATTGGTTAGGATTCGGGTTTTGGTTAGTAGTTGGTTTAAGGATGGTTAGGCTCTTATGAAAGTTAAAATGACTTGATTGAGTGTTTGGGTAAGGGGGAGTCTTTGAGAGTGTCCAAGATTACGGTTAGGTTTGTGTGAAATTGGGTTCAGGCTTTTCCTTCACAGTTTGGGAATGCCAAGTTAAATGCGAAGTTCCTGTGAATCCTCTTATCAGTTTTCATAAACACGTGGACCAATGTGACCGTAACGGCAAACGTGTATGGCTGAAAGGAGTGCGTCTGCTTGACGGTTTGGAGGGGCGGGCAACGGGATACAATCAGTGGGTGGACCTTGTTGACTCGCATTTCCACTTCCACTCCCTTTCCCCTCCACTTTGCTCCACTTGACTTCATCTTTGTCTTCCAGTCTCAGCACTCACTGACAGATCCTGGATCTCCCTGTGGAGCTGGAGAAGGAACCACCCTGGCATAAAACAATGGCGCTGTGCACACCGAACGCGGATCCCTCCAAAGCCATCCGAAGTGACGGGAAAGAGCCCGGCGAGGCTTCAGCCGGGTTGATGCCAGCCACTGTTAACCTGAGGCTGACCCGAAGTTTGTCCAAGTCGGACTCGGACTTGTTGGCGCCGCCGCCGCTCGGAGAAGATGACGGAGGTCATGCTGCTCGCAGCGGATCCGTGTCCAAGTGCAAGCAGGGCCAGCCCTCCAAGGAGCGAATGCCTTCCTTCGCCTCTGAGTGGGATGAGGTAATGCACGAGCTGGCTTTGAAATTATGACGAGAGGCTGATAAGAGGGGCGACTCAGGATTAGTGCGGGAAGAGGGCGAGGCGGTGCATTTTGGAAAGGGGAGGAAGGAAGTTCTGCAGAGGTTGCCATGGTAACACCTGCAGCCCGCCGCTCGGCCGTGCAAGTGTCTTGGTGACTGGCGGCATCCTCCGTGGAGCATCCGTGTAGGGCTAATTGGGCCTCCGCTGTCATGACACATCCACTCAGTATGTTGTGCACACTACCCTCTTTCACCAACAGGGGCAGTGGCGATCATCAACGCTGGGCAACCCCGTGAGCAAAAGCAGCAGCTTTGAATCCTGTGGCTGCAATAAGATTAATATTAATAATAAAATAACAATAATAATAAATATTATGATTATTGTAAAACTCAAAATAGTAACAATACAATACAGTAATTGTTGCTTACTAATAAATACATGATTGAAAATAATATTATGTAAATATACCGTACATTGTTGTTATTATAATAAACATGTAAAAATATATTTGAAACGAAACTAAAAACTTTTATGAAGAATGCTAGATATATATTTAGTTAAAATAATGAGGCTATTATTATTGTCATCATTCTTGTTTTCATTAAGTACAGATCAATAATACAATAGCAACAGCATTAATAATCAACATTTTTGTGAGTATTGCAAATAAAATAACAATAATGTACTACTCATAAGAATACATAAGATAGCTAAATAGTTTTTGTTAAATATAATTACAACAATAATAACAATACTAATGTAAAAATATAGATGTTTGGAGAAGTCATAATTTACTTCCTAACAATAACAAATACAACTATGAAGACTATTTTTGTTGATTTATTGTTATTAGAAATATAGGCCCAGGCCAAAGCCTTTACATATTATTAGCAATCAACTCCAATGATGAATGATGATTGCTCAAGCATTCGAAGTCACTCTTTTGACAATCACAAAACAATATTCCAAATTGAAACCTTATGTTGTCCAATAATCAGGTTGACATTTTCAAGTGACTTAAACGCTGTTACTGTAAAAAAAAAAAAAAAAAGTGTATGGTAATTAAAATGAAATCTGAACTAATTTAATCGAGACTCACACACTTGTGTTGGACGACAAGGAGGTCACGGCCATTCTTGACCATCCCCTTGATATTTGGTGGACATGTTGAAGTTTGTGTTCGTGCGCAAGTCGTCATTGTGTCATCACAGAGGCGCACTTATCCCCGTCCCCCTCAGCCCCTTCTCCCTTTGACACCAGTGTTGATTCAGGCCATGCTGGGTGGGGTGTCCTGTTCTCAAGGGCATCCTGTTGTTGCAGCTGCTCCCCGACTGTGTGATCGTGTGCCCAAAAGTGAAATATATTTTGTGTATTATCTCGGAAAGCCATACGTATATACACACACACACACACACACACACACACACACACACACACACACACACACACACACACACACACACACATAGATCCACCCCAAATATATAAAGTTCGATGGAATAACACGGTGGCAGCCAACCGCCTGAGTATAATTCATAAAAAGTATAACTAAAAGAAACAACACAGTCTATATATATCTAATATCTATCTATCTATCTGTACACCTACCCACGCACACGCACATACACAGCCAGCTTCATTTACTAACCTCGGTGTATTCACCCCCCGCGAACAAACACACACAGTATGTGTTTCCGTCTGTCGTCAGCGAAACGGGAGTCCATCAGTGACGGACAGAGGTCAGTCGCTACTGACCGGTTTAGTGACGATGTGGGTGATGGACGAAAACTCGCTTCTGTCTGGGATTGCGTGTGTGTGTGTGTGCGTGTGTGTGTGTGTGTGTGTGCGTGTGTGCGTGTGTGTGTGTGTGTGTGTGTGTGTGTGTGTGTGTGCGTGTGTGCGTGAGAGAGAGAAAGTCAACCACACATGAAAATTAGCTGATTGAGCATCACACATTGCGACAAGCCTGAAAGGTTAATCCAAGTGGTGTCTCTCTTGATACCACCGGTCCAAAAATGACCTAATTGGACTGTTATATTTTTGCCCAAAGTGACAAACTGAGTGTGTTGTTTTGGCAGCTTTAATAAGACAAGTAAATAAACTGCGTTCGCCTCGTATCCACGGTCATCAGTGCAGATTTGGGCATCCTAAAAAGCCGATGTGTGTGCGTGTGCGCATGACCATGCACTAGCACCACACTAGCGGCAGGCTCATTTGATGTAATATTTAGTGCTTGAAAGAGCCCCCTGCACTGGCTGGCTGGTGGCATCAGCACTGTGCAAGATGAGCCTTGATTCATTTGGAAGGCAGGCAGGCAGGCGGGCAGGCATGTGGGACGTGTGGCATAGTGCGCCCGAAGCATCGCAAACCTCATATTCACTCCTTGAATTAACCCACTTACATTCCATAGCACATACTGTACACACATATACATATACACGTAAATGACATCACAGCCAGCCTAAGTGCACTTTTATTGGAGTCTGTCATCAAAATGTCACTTCAGTGGGAGGGTGCGATGATTTATTTAAGTGCTTCAACATGTCGCACATACAGTGCTAAATATTTCACATTTAAATACACATTTCTAAACATTAGGGTCTGAGCTAAGTCCTACTTGAAATTGTTAGTTATTATTCTGATGCCTGTTTAGACGTGCAAAAAAAGCGTGAAGGCTTGAGGCTCTTTTCCATTGTAATGGTTTCGCCATGTGCGGTCACTTTCCGAATACTTTTTCCGGGCTGTGCAGTTACAAGGGAACCGTTCCTCTGAACCTATTCCAACCTGCTGATATACATATTACGTGCATTATACAAAGAACATATGCAAATTCTACAAAATACTTTTAAAACATAAATCGTTTATAGCAATAAAAAATGAAACTATCGCAGACATGATTAAATTCGCCCTTTCATCCAAGGTCAAAGTCAAGGTCATTTTTATTGCCAAATATGCTCTATGTACAACATACAGCACAAATGAAATTTCTTTCCTCTCAATCCTCAGTGCAAACATGCAGTGCATTAAACACACACAGCTAAAGATATGGCAGCGAAACTAAACTGTATAAAAAAAACCAACAAATATATAAATATAAACAATATAAACAACAGACAGTCAACAGACACCAAGGGCATTTGTGACTATTGCGGGTTAAAGTGAAGTACAGTAGTGCATTGTGTAATATGCGGATGTCGGATAAACAGGCACAGGGGCGTCACTAGGTTTGAAGAACAAGGGGGGCTTAGCCCCAAGGGGAACACAGCCCATGTAGGGGGGTCCGGGGGCATGCCCCCCCGGGAGAAATTTTTTTCTACATTCTGTTAAAAATCCATCAATTCCGTGCACTTTGAGAGCAAAATGAAGAGGCTATGAAGAACGACACACATCACATTAGTATCCTCTTTACTATGATGGGGCTTCCTCCCCTGGACTTTAACTGGACTAGATAATAGAAATTATAAAGAGTTCAAAAGTTCAATCTTGGTTGTTCAAGGGAATTAGAAGGATGCCCGATAACATAACCTATATGACAGTAGTCCTATATTCCTCTCTACCAAAATGTATTAATATATGCTTAGCAGTGGCGGGCCGTGCATTTCAACCTTAGGCCTTCAGTGACGTCACATACATACACAATATAGGCTCGTCAAGCAG